TATTTTTTACATTAAAAATTTGTATAACTAATTTCTGTCAAGATGGCCAGCTTCAACGGAGTGTCAAAGTCCGCCGGACAGGATTACAGTGCCCTCGTGTATGCACAAATACTCTCCATTTGCGACGGTTATCCGACACGACCAGAGGACGGGAGTGAAACACCGTCTACTTCCTGATTTTGGCCGACCCGGATTCGAATCCAGGACCTTATGATCAGTAACCACGTTTACGACCAGACATTCAACCCTAGATATTTATAAAACATACAGTGCCATCGATATATATGTACTACGTACTAGATTGCGCATTCCGAACATACACTGTGTTCAACTGAACTGTACTGCAATCCGTAGTGTGTCATTTAGTGTGGTTGCAATCTACTAGTTAGTCTGTGGTTTCAATATTCACGCAGTGTGGAGCGGAGCTAATAATACTAGATTTCAAATTTAAGTTTAAACCTGGACGTAAATAACAATTAAGTAGTCAAGTAAAGCAAAATTGTGTTCAAGTGAATAAATAGGTAATAATATCGTAATATTACAAAAGCAAAAATCATGAAAAAATATATCTTTATATATAAAAATTACGTGTCACGTTGTTTGTCCGCGATGGACTACTAAACTGATTTCTATGAAATTTTTCACACTGTGTGCATTTTGGTCCAACTTGAGAGATAGGATAGTTTTTATCCCGCTAAATGACCCTCAAAATTTTTTATTGCGAATTTAAGGTTTTTATAGGAAGGGTCGTCGAAAAAGGCAGAACAACGTCTGCCTGGTCAGCTATTTTATTTATATAAATTGACCGCGCAGGAGCAACGCGCTTAAATCAACTGCGTATGCGCGGCTTTACTATCTCCCACGCATGCGCGAAGACACTAGTAGTACACATTTTTTTGTTTAGAATGGCTTCTCTAGTATGTAGTACATATAACTCAATGTACAGTGCTAATTGTTGACTTTAACACTTGCCTACTTAAAAATGATGTCAGATCCCTTTGGCTTGAGTTGAGAATTTAAATATTTTCCCTCTTTCTCAAACTCCTCTTTCCTTGATTTTATTATCGTTGCTTCTCTTTATCATATTAATAAATTTGGTCTATATGCTGATAATGTGCCATTTCGTGTCTTATCTTAAAAAATAGGCCCACCCAAAGTCAGATTAAAGATACTTCTGTAGTGTAATTCTGTAAAAATTTATTTGGACAGGTTACGGAAAGATAACTGGAAAGTAAGAAAAAAAACTGCAGCCCCACAATTTATCAGTCACACATAGTAGCAGATCGGGAAGTCAAAGTCGGGAATTTGCATTTGGAAAAATCCAAAATTAGGGGCTTTTTAGGTGCTAATTAGGTGGTCTAAAATTTTCACCGAAACGAACTGTTGAAATTTGCATTGCTAGCGAGACGTTTTGCTAGCAACGCAAATTATAAGATACTAGATGACCAGGTGCCGTGTAGTGGCGGTTAAGAATATCCACTACCTCATATCTTCCCGTGGGTGTGGTAAAAGGCGACAAAGGGAAACAGGCAGGAGATGGGCAGCAGCATCTTCCTGATAACAGCAAAAATACAATAAAAAAACTGCGGTTGCCAACCCGCTCGCCAAGCGTGGCAACTATGGCAAATACCCCCCTATGAATGTAACAAAGAGACGGCCCCCAGTCCCCGGCGGCCCCGCTATTCCTGGCTACGGTGGCGACCAAGGTAACGGCGGGGCAGGGTGCTAAGAATCTCCGGTGGAGGTTCGGTTGCCACCTACGACAACTCGACCTGACAACATACAACGCACGCACCCTGAGAACTGACGAGAAGATTGTGGAGCTGGAAGAAGAGATAGACAAGTTACGCTGGCATATTATAGGATTATCCGAAGTCCGAAGAGAGGGGGAAGACACGGTAATCCTCGAATCCGGCAACTTGCTCTATCACCGGGAGGGCGACCATCTGCCCCATGAAGGTGTCGGATTTATCGCTCACAAGTCTCTCGTTAACAACGTTGTAAAGATTGAGAGTGTGTCGACGAGGGTTGCGTACCTTATACTCAGAATCACCAAACGGTATTCGCTGAAGGTCATACAGGTTTACGCACCAACCTCGGCACACCCCGATGAGGAGGTGGAGGAAATGTATGAGGATATCTCTAGAGCCATGCATTCCTCCAAAACCCAATATACGGTGTTAATGGGAGACTTCAATGCAAAACTAGGCACAAGAGAGAACGGTGAGCTGAAAGTAGGGAAATTTAGAATAGGGCAACGGAAACCAAGGGGCCAGCAGCTAGCCGACTTCATGGAGAAAGAGGGACTCTTTATGATGAACTCTTTCTTCCAGAAGCGGCACCACAGGAAGTGGGCCTGGTCGAGCCCCGATGGTTCGACAAAAAATGAGATTGACTTCATTATGACGAACAGACGACAACTGTTCAGTAATGTCTCAGTGATCGCGAGGGTGAAAACCGGCAGCAATCACCGAATGGTTAGAGGCACACTGAACCTAAACGTTAAGTTGGAGAGGTCTCGTCTGATGAAGTCAACGCTCCGTCCCCCTCGTGCTCTAATCCAAAGTCCCGAAACCTTTCAGCTCGAGTTACAAAACCGTTTTCAGTGCCTAGAAGACTGCAATGAAGTGGACGATATGAATGACAAGCTCGTGGAAACTGTCCATGCGGTCGGAGCTAAGTTCTGCAAGACCCGCCGCAGAAGAACACAAAAACTCTCCGACCACACTCTTAATCTCATGGCTGTTAGACGGGAGATGAAGCTACATTCTTCAACAGATTTGACAGCATACAGGCAACTGAACAGACAGATCTCCAAATGCATGCGGCGGGACTTACGCAACTTCAATACAGCTCGTATTGAAGAAGCATCTAGCGGAACCAAGGCTGCAAAGTCTTTGCCAGATATCTGTCTTCCAGAAAGAGCCAACTGTTAAAGCTGAAGACAGAATGTGGCAGCATCATTTCCGGGGCACCTGAGATTTTGAGTGAGATTGGGAGGTTCTATGGGCAGCTGTACACGTCACATACACATACCCTTCGGCAAATTGTACAGAGGTCCGAAGAGTACAATTTGCCACTATGTCTGGCGTATGTGGACTATGAGAAAGCCTTTGATTCCGTTGAAATTTGGGCGGTTCCCTTCAGCGGTGCTAAGTTGACTGTCGGTAGGATACGGTATCAACATCAATGGCGAGTACATTACTCACCTTCGATTTGCCGACGATATAGTCCTTATGGCAGAATCGCTGGAGGACCTAAGCACTATGCTCAATAACCTCAATAGTGCTTCCCAACGGATAGGTCTTAAGATGAACATGGACAAAACAAAGATCATGTTTAATGTCCATGTCACACCTATGTCGGTAGTTGATGGGAGCACTAAGCTCGAAGTTGTTGACGAGTATGTTTACAAGTAGGACAAATAGTCCGACTAGGTAAGTCGAACTTCGACCGAGAGGTCAATCGACGGGTTCAACTCGGTTGGGCAGCGTTCGAGAAATTACGGCACATCTTCTCATCAGGTATACCTCAAAACTTGAAAACGAGACTGTACAACCAGTGCGTGTTGCCAGTGATGACATACGGAACTGAGACCTGGTCCTTCACTACTGGCCGTATGAGGAAGCTCAAGGTCGCTCAGCGAGCTATGGAGAGGGCTATGCTCGGAGTTTCTCTGCGTGATAAACTCAGAAATGAGGACATCCGCAGTAGAACCAGAGTGACCGACATAGCCCAACGGATTAGTAAGCTGAAGTGGCAATGGGCCGGCCATATAGCTCGAAGAACCGACAACCAATGGGGAAAAAAGGTTCTCGAGTGGCAGCCTCGTACCGGCAGGCGAGGTGTTGGGCGTCCCCTCACTGGATGGAGTGACGACCTGGTAAGATATGCAGGACGTCGATGGATGCAGGTGGCTCAGGACCGTGCTTTGTGGCATTCCTTGGGGGAGGCCTATGTTCAGCAGTGGACTTGTGAAGCTGTCTTTATTAAGTATATATTATATTATAATATAATTAAGTGCTAATTAGGTGCTGCAAGCATAGACAATAACAAGGCGCCCCGAATAAAAATAAAGTCGTTATATATAACATAGCAAATGCAAAATTCAGATTTCAGAGACACAACTCTTTTTAAGAGGCAGTAATTACACAAGACTACGTGAAGCCCAAGAACATAAGTACTGCGTCTTCATCTTCAGATGTAAGTAAAAGAAAAGGAAAGATCGATGCAGATATTTTTTTTATAGGATAAGGGTGACAAACGAGCACACAGTCCACCTGATGGTAAGTGGTTGCTGCGGCCCATAGACATCTACATCTATCCTCCATTACAAATCAAAATGCAGATGCGTTGTCACCCGTGAGGACTAAGATGGAATGCCACATTTCCAGTAAAAAGGGTGTGATATCGGTGGCGTATGGAGACTAGAGCCGTTCGATTTAACTGCAGTCTGAAATAGCTTCGATTTATCGTTGTGTGTAGTTACTTTATACAAGAAACAAAACCCTCGATATGTATATGCTCAGATTATGATAATTTTTTATTCTTGTAACCCCTTCCTTTCAAAAAATATTTTTTACTCATGTACCAATTGCTTTCAGACATTTAAATTTGCACCCGAATTTTCGTTTGAAAATATATGCAGTCGAATTTTTTGTGTAGTTTGTAGTAAAAATATAAATTCATAAGGACTTGATTATTTGATAGGTCAGTTAGCATAAAAAAATCTTATCCAATTACTTTTTTTTTAATCATGACAGCTATATGTACAGTAAAAATTGCATTTGCTTGATACATTACATGTCAAATATTTCAGAAAAGTTATAATAGGTAAATAATTTAGGGTTAAATAAATATGTTGCAATTATACAACAAAAGTTGAATTATACAACTTTGTATAATTTATAATTGTCAATCCAAATTACAAAAATGTACAATTTTGATAAGCTCAAATGTGTTCAACACTGGTATACATTTCTTAAACTAAAGTTGTTAATTTATTCACTGAGATGCAAGTCCTTCCGCAGAGTGTAAGCAGAGACATGCATCATATAAGGTTCGTTTTGAAGGAAGTTGTCTATGGCCTGTTGCCTCACATCCTCCCACGTATAAAGATCTCTGTAAATTGGTCGAACATATTTCATACGTCCTTGTTGATTAACAAAGCTGAACACCTCCTTCAGTTTTGTACGGTCTCTACTCCTAATGCATAGTCTGAGCCATCTGTAAATGATCTCGGAGTTTTTGCTGTTATTGACTTTATATGCGTCTCCCAAGCTGCGGAGTTTTTCTATTGGCAGGGCGTCTTTGTCGATGAGTTCTTGAAGTAAGTTAATCATCTGATGCGGTGTGAAGCATTTCACGTCGTCGTATGAGAACGTGCCCGCTTCGAATATCTTAGCCACGAGCTCGGTGACAGCTTTCGTCATGGAGGTGTCATAACTGAAAAAGTTGTAAAAATGATATGAGTCCAAATTAAAAACTATGGTAAGACGTAACTTTATTCACTACTGCCTATCAAAAGTCTATTGTTGAACATAGGCTTCCTCCATAGTTTACTTCAAATATTGTCTTAGTTGCCACGTTTAGCTGGCGGTTTGGCGAACAAAGAGAAAGGCAGATGCTACTGCCTTTCTCCTGTTCTATTTACTTCTGTCGATACCCACGGGATCAAGATGTTTAAATCAAGAAGTGCAAATCTTCACAGCTAAGCAAGCAACTCCTGTTATTCATTGCATTGGGAAATAAATATTGACATACACACACACACACACACAATAATAAAGATACAATAGAATAGAATTATTTTTTAATTAAATATAATTCTATTCTATTCGTAGCAAGTTTTGATTTTAGCAGTAGAGATTTTTGTTAAGGAAAAGTAAGTGGCAGCGCAGCGACCAAGCATTAGGTTGCAACACTGCGGACCACGGGTTACAATCTTGCGCAGAAACAAATATTTCTACTTACTATTTATACGACAAATAAATGATAAAAAAAGATAATAAACTTAATAAGTAAGCTTACTTAGGAATTATTGGTGGCATTCCACTGCTGTAAAACCAAGCATTCCAGTCCACACTGGTCAGATTCTGATTTCCGCTGAAATAATTCAGTAGGTATTCCTTGAATTCATCCGTATCCAATGAGCGCTTCTGGTAATTTCCCAAGTACGATCGCATGAACTCATCAAACACTTCTGAAAAAGATTTTTAAAGAATACTATTGAGAATTTAGAAAGCTAGTTCGTATTTAGTGTTGTTGGAATAAATTATACACAAATAACTACACAAAAATACAAGACAGCCAAAGTATTTTTTATTAAAAATTGGTTTTTGCATAGTACTTTTAGCCTCGTGCTCGTTTTTCCTGGCTCTATGGCTTCCGCGCTTCGAACGGGGAATTAGGGGGGGGGGGTCTTGTTAAGCAGGTGAAGTTAGAGGCCGCGGAGGAAAACGCGCCATGTGTCTTGGTGCGCCTGAGAAGGAAGTGTAGAAGTAGTTTGGTCCCGAGAAAGCCTCCACAAAAAGTGCCAAAAGTGTATGTATGTACAAATGCATTAATTGTCCAGATTACTATTATAATATAACATTTTTTTTATAGGATAGGGTGACAAACGAGCACATAGCCCACCTGATGGTAAGTGGTTGCTGTGACCCATAGACATCTACATCTATCCTCAATAAGGACACAAAATGCAGATGCGTTATCACCCGTGAGGACTAAGATGGAATGCCTCTTTTCCAGTAAAAAGGGTCTCCGGTTCTCTACACTCACCATACGAAACACAGCAGCATTAAGCTGCTATTTTACGCTGGTATTCTGTGAGAGCGTGGTCTTTCCCCGGTTGAGCCGACCCATTTGTGCTACAACTATACTACTAATATAGCTGCAGCATGGCTCTACCACGTATATTTTATTATATATAATCTAAGTAAAATGGTTACTAAAATCAATACAAATTTGAATGAACTCCCTTTAAGTCCACAACGAGTCTCGTCATTTTGTTGGTTGGTCCTAGTTCTTCATTAACCTACAATGCATATAGTGATTAAGCTTACCCGGTCCTCCTACGAGGTCTTCTAAGTAACGTAGGAAGAGTGAGCCTTTTTCGTATGGGACACGGGAGAATGCATCATCTGGATGTACTCCTTTTAAGTCTGGTACCAGCTTCGTCAAGGGATTTGAACTACCCAGATGCCCGTTTATCTACAAATGCAGTAGAAATTTTATAACATTAATGGGCCTTGGTGGGTGACAAACTGGCCAAAGATTTCTTGGAAATACGAGCGTACTTTGGGTAATGTAAAGTTGTATAAATAAAATATTGGAGAATGTTTCTAGGCCGATGACAGCGTGTAGCAGCTACAGTGCAAGGTGTCTGTTAATGCGATTAACAAACGGAATTTTTCTCCTAAATTTGGAGAGATCTGCTGTTACGTCTTAATGTAGTAATGATAAAACAACAAACATTAATTTAGAAAAAATAAATAATTATTTATCAAGTCAGGGTCGGAGGTCCGTTACTATTGGGTTGTTCGGAAATTAAATTCGTTATTTGTGATGAAAATGTAAGAAGATTTTCTTAGTGAATAAATATTTTATTTAGTTACATGTTGTCCACTTTGGTCCAATACCTTTTGCCGCCTTTCTGGCAGTAGCATAATTTCACGCTCATAAAATTTTTGTTCTTTTCTGGCAAAATCTGATCCAGGCGGTTTTTGAATTCCTCATTTGTAGTAAAGGCCGTTTAAGAGACCGAAATAAATAATACTCAGAAGGTGCTAGATCTGGCGAATATGGTTCAAGATGTAAAAGCTCATGGCGGGATAACAAACTTGTTTATGGTTTCGCATTATCTTGGTAAAACACTACACATTTTCAATTGATCAATTCTGGCCTTTTCTGAAGTGAATCGTGCAATTTGTAAAGTTGATGACAGTACACTACAGAATTGATCGTGGTGTTGTCAGGTAGAAGTTAAAAAAAAAAAACAATTTCTTTAAAATCCCACCAAACCGACAGCATTACCTTTTTTATTAATATCGGCTTCCGAAAGGCTTTGAACCGGTTCATCTTTTTTACTCCATCATCTCTTGCGGTTAACATTGTTCTAGACAACCCATTTCTTGTCCGCGGTGATGATGTGCATCAATAATTAAAATTTGGACAAACAATTTCAATATAAATTATTAAGAATAACTCTAAAAACTATTAGTCAGACCTTGATCAAATTTATATGGGACCAAATGAGAAGCACCAGCTTTCAAATAAAAAAAGAATCATCGAAATCGGTTCACACAGAAAAAAGTTATGAGGTACAGTCAGGTCTGGCAACTTTACCAATGGATGTTAACTTTGCCATCTGTCCGGCTAATAGCCGGACATGTTTGGCTTTTTCGGGTTGTGTCCGGCCTGTCCGGCTGTTCTTAGGCTTTTTGTAGTATAACGCGTTGCACGCATCGCTTGGTTGTTGTTGAGTTGGAGTTGGTGAGTTTTTTGGCTGCATGGCCTCAGAAAGGTATGTTTGGCTTTTAGGGTCAAAAGTCCGGCTTTTTGGAGCGCCGAGTCCGGCTATTTCATTTTAGGAGATGGCAACCCTAATCAGGGGTAACGTAATGTTTTTCGAGATAAGCCATGTTTTGGATGAAATACAATAACTAATTGACAGCATTGCTTTCGATATGGCAACATGATAGTTAATTTTGGCATTTTATTTTAACGCGGCATTGTGCCGGCGAAATAACCTCTTTGTTCAGTGCTCCAGAACTTTAGTTTTTTTTGTTTGAAATACTGAATGTAGGTATCTATATCTTTGTAGTAACGTAATAGTAATGGTTATCAAATTTAATATATCGTTTTTAACATTTTGGTCTTAACATTTATCTATTAAACTAACTTGACAAAACTACCATAATAGTGATGCCATGATGTGACGGTTACTTTGCCATGTTTTGTTACAACTAAGGGTTGTCACTTTCAACCTATATTTTTAACCGATTACAACTATTTAAACAAAGTGTTCTGCACTTGACATTAATGTTTGTATCGATGTTTCACTGTAGCAACCCATTAGACCGATTTTACGAAATAAGTCGTTAATCGTTTAATCTTTATTAAAAGTGAAGGAAAAGAATAGAGAAATCTATATTATTTTTACTGAGCCAAACAAAACTTTTAATTTTTTTCTTTAATTACCATGAAAATAAGATGATGAAAAAAAATTCTGGTAAATTTTGAGCTCATAATATTAATATAAATGGTGCCTCATCACGATTTTTGATTTCCCGTGTAAATAACAGAAACAAAAATTATTTGGATTTTTTTTTTATAAATTAGTGTTGTAAAAGTCAATACATATTCTTGTAGGAAATTGAACGATCTTCAAAAAAGGTCTGATTTTTCACTAAGTGCTTTCAGCTTGCTTCTTTAAAAAACCGGCTGAGTGCCAGTCGGACTCGCGCATGAAGAGTTCAATACCATCGTAAAACATGTTTCTAGTAGAGGGGCCCCCTTTAATTTTTAATTTATTTTTATTGTTTGTTGTTATAGCGGCAACAGAAATACACATTCTGTGAAAATTTCAACTGTCTACCTATTACAGGTCATGAGATACAGCCCGCTGACAGACAGACGGACGGACAGCGGAGGCTTAGTAATAGGGTTTCGTTGGTTACCCTTCGAGTACGAAACCTTAAAAAGTAACAGTATACACATCGAACCTTATACACTATCAACCATAATCAACTAATGGCTTATGTTATTCACACGTATATGACGTTTCGTTGTTTTACTGCACCTGCTTACAGCATCTCGCAGTTACGGGCGGACTGGGTGCTGCAAAACATTCAAAACGAAGGGAATCAAAATAATTTAAAAATTAAGCGCAATAACATCCATAATAGTATTTTACAAATATAACTTTAAAATTGAAATGTATTTTTTAAATATATGTCCAAAATTGTCTGTTGCTATGGCTTGGCCATAAGAAAAATTATGCGCGTAAACATAAAAAAGGAACGTCATTGTTGTTTATAGGTTGATCTCTTTCTGGTCTGGTAATAATCGGCAATTTTTATGTATGTACTCTTTCGACGGAAAGATATTAAGTAGTTGTCAATATTACCCACAAATAATTTGTGGGTAGTACCTATTAATAACTTTGGCTTGAATTTTCCTTAGGATCTACGACTCAGCAGATTGCTAATTCAAATGCTACTCAATTTTAAGGTGTCGTTAGGAAACAGAGCGGGGCTAAATTAAAAGTGTATCAATTTGCCTGCCAAGTTTGGCGATGACGTAAGTTCCCCTGCAGTGTAACTGTTCACATAAGCACCGGGAAAAATAATATAATTAAAAAAAATTATATATGTGAACAATTAAAATGAAACTCACCGTTTCACTTAATTCCTGCAGTCCAAGTAGGCTGTGGAAATCTCTGCTGCGCTTAGCTTCTGCAGCATCAGCAATAAGTGAAGCCCCAACTTTCCTCTCAAGGAACACTGTAAAGCCTTCGTTTAGCCAAAAGTGCTCAAAGTTCCTGTTAGTTACTAGGTTGCCTGTCCAACTGTGCATTATTTCATGGACTATAACATCTGCTTGGCTCCTGTCACCAGCCTAAAAGATAAATATATTATGATATCTAGAAGAACTTTGATTTCTATTTTTTATTTTATCTCCTGATGAAGTGGAAGGTAATAAAATAAAGTTTTAGTAGAATACTTTAAGCAGCCAAAACGATATTTTAAAGAAACTATGAGTGCCAATAATGACATTATTGTATATTTTTTTGAAACTAGATCGTTATTGCTTTTTTCTATATTTTTATGTAGTAAAAGTCTAAATTAACATAAGTAAAACTATATAGGAAACCAACCAAGTTTTGAGGCATTATTTCATTTAGTAGTAATTTATTACTTAGATAATGCTAATCAAAATTAGTGTGTGTTTTTGGCTTATTAATAACACAAGCAGTATATAAACTGTACCATTAAAAATCTTATACGGAATCGAATTGTGAATGTGAATGATTGTAGTGATCATCATGGCACAGTTAAGACTCGAAATCAATTCTAGAGTCTTAACTAAGAATTTTGGAAAAAATTAAAAATATATTGATTGCAGACAAGCTTCTTAAGCTTTGAAAAATTAGTTTTCAAAGGAAATTGATTTTGCAAAAATAGTACCAATTTCAGGTATATTTATTAGAGTACTAGCTGTTCCCCGCGTGTGATTTTTTTTTTTGCGTGGAACCCTAATTCTTTTTCTTCAATTAAAGTAGCCTAAGTTACTCTTTGTGCCGTGTAGTAGCGGTCAAGAATATACACTACCCCATATCTTCCCGTGGGTGTCGTAAAAGGCGACAAAGGGAAACAGACAGGAGATGGGCAGCAGCATCTTCCTGATAGTAGCCGAAATTACAATAAAAAAAACTGCGGTTGCCAACCCGCTCGCTATGGAGAGAGTAACAAAGAGACCTCCCCCAGTCCCCGGCAGCCCCGCTATTCCTGGCTACGGTGGTGACCATGATAACGGCGGGCCAGAGGGTGCTAAGAATCTCCGGTGGAGGTTCGGTTGCCACCTTAGACGACTCGACCTGGCAACGTACAACGCACACACCCTGAGGACTGACGAGAAGATTGTGGAGCTGGAAGAAGAGATAGACAAGTTACGCTGGCATATTATAGGATTATCCGAAGTCCGAAGAGAGGGGGAAGACACGGTAATCCTCGAATCCGGCAACTTGCTCTATCACCGGGAGGGCGACCATCTGCCCCATGAAGGTGTCGGATTTATCGCTCACAAGTCTCTCGTTAACAACGTTGTAAAGATTGAGAGTGTGTCGACGAGGGTTGCGTACCTTATACTCAGAATCACCAAACGGTATTCGCTGAAGGTCATACAGGTTTACGCACCAACCTCGGCACACCCCGATGAGGAGGTGGAGGAAATGTATGAGGATATCTCTAGAGCCATGCATTCCTCCAAAACCCAATATACGGTGTTAATGGGAGACTTCAATGCAAAACTAGGCACAAGAGAGAACGGTGAGCTGAAAGTAGAGAAATTTGGAATAGGGCAACGGAACCCAAGGGGTCAGCAGCTGGCCGACTTCATGGAGAAAGAGGGACTCTTTATGATGAACTCTTTCTTCCAGAAGCGGTCCCACAGGAAGTGGACCTGGTCGAGCCCCGACGGTTCGGCAAAAAATGAGATTGACTTTATTATGACGAACAGACGACAACTGTTCAGTGATGTCTCCGTGATCGCGAGGGTGAAAACTGGTAGCGATCACCGAATGGTTAGAGGCACACTGAACCTAAAAGTTAAGTTGGAGAGGTCTCGTATAATGAAGTCAACGCTCCGTCCCCCTCGTGCTCTATTCCAAAGTCCTGAAACCTTTCAGCTCGAGTTACAAAACCGTTTTCAGTGCCTAGTAAACTGCAATGAAGTGGACGATATGAATGACAAGCTCGTTGAAACTGTCCATGCGGTCGAAGCTAAGTTCTGCAAGACCCGCTGCAGAAGAAAACAAAAACTCTCCGATCACACTCTTAATCTCATGGCTGTTAGACGGGAGATGAAGCTACATTCTTCAACAGATTTGACAGCAAAACACCAAAATGTTAACTTTTATAATTACTTTAATAAATAAACATATTTTATTACTCCCACCTATCATCACTAACTGTCAGCTGTCTGCTCGCTCAAGTTGCCGTCAAAATCTCGCCAAGGGCTGCACAATGTGACGCATCAACATATTGTGAAGCAGTGAAATTCTATATATTCAAAATAAAAAAGACAAGGCTGTATGGCATAGTTTCTTTGCCTGCTCTCTGCCACAGATTACTTAATAGTTTACTAAACAGATACATAACTCCCATACAAAAGCGAAAATACCTACGCTATAATAGCCTACAAAATCTTAATAATAATATCTGCTGTTCGCAGCGAGAAGAAAATGTACCATAAGTACGCGCCTAAAGAGTCGAGATTGTGTTGACCGCCGTGCGCCTCACGTGCAAACGCGTCATCGCACGAATGCGCTAGGGTTGTACCTATGATATTATTGTAATAAAACGAATCTTGCGAAATAACCATATTTTGTATTTTTCAATCAAATATGTTTGAGTTTTATAAAATGATTTATACATTTTTTCCTTCTCTGTATTCTCGGTTATTAAATCTTATCGTTGAAAATATCCTAATGCGCGTAAATAATTTTAAAAAATAATCATGAGGAAAACAGGAGCAAAGCGGAGGAAAATCAATGGTTTGTAAAATTTGTAACACGCTGCTGCCAGGCCGATTCATTATGGCGTTGTCAAAATTATTTAAGACTTATTATATAATTTATTACATAATTTGGGTCTCCTGGTTGTCACTCAATTTATAAATCAAGCACTGTTATGCTGTTGCTTCGATGTAATCTTATAGTTAAGATAAAAATGACAATTTCTCATTTGTTTTTGACTCTGACACCCATCCACTGCATAATAATTACGTGGTTTCGGCATTTCGACGAGTAAGCGCGGGAAACGTGCGCGGTGCAAACGCTCAGGCGGGCGTGCGGCAGCCCAATGTCGGTTGTATCGTGGGCGATACGCAAAACGGTAGGCATATAACACAGGGCCTTGAGCGAGTGACGGAGGCCTGTCTCTGCCGAGCGAATAATAAAAACAACAACAACAACAACAAAAGTTCAGTTTCAAGTATTAATTAGTGATTTACTTATGAATATTTTTAGAAAATAATTTTAAATTTTTCGACGCAGCTGAAATTGCACGGGGGCGCTTGAGATAAGCCCCCTTGACCTCCCCACAGTGACAGACTCTCTAATAATTATATTGTTATTTCGTTTTTGTATCATTTTTAAATGGATACAACCTCAAAACTATAATTATCGATATCTCTAAAACTAAAGATTTCCGGCATAATAAGCAGCTAGATGGTAATCAATAGCATCATTGCCTATCACCTAAAGCTAAAATGATCACTTAAATCGTGCCGCAGATTACTAAAGCTGACCTTCTATTTCTATTCATATATGACTCACAATATTGTAAGACAAAAATTAAATTTAATTAAGATCATCAACAAGTCGCATATGTTAATCAGTGTTTTTCAGAATTTTGATTTTTAATTGTCGGAAATTCTCTGTATGTTATTGGAAGTGGGCGGCAATCAATCACATATAACCCCCATATATCTAAATTAGCAAGCAGACTTAGTTCTGCAGCATACACTGTAAGAAAGATTAGAAGTCTCACAGATGTTGAGACAGCCAGATTAGTGTATTTTAGTTACTTTCATAGCGTAATGTCTTATGGAATTTTGCTATGGGGTAATGCGACTGATATTGAAGCCATATTTGTTTTGCAAAAGAGAGGCGTACGGGCGATTTATAACCTAAATTGTGAAGAGTGCCTCAGAGAAAAATTTAAAGAAATAAACATATAAACTTTGGCATCGCAATATATTTATGAGAATGTAATGTATGTGCATAAAAACATAAGTAGCTTTAATAAGAATAAGGATGTGCATACTTTAAACACTAGGAACAAACATAAGCTTGTAATGCCAGTTACTAGATTCCACAGAATCAGTAATTCATTTATGGGGCAATGTATACGCTTTTACAACAAAATCCCAGAACATATTCAAAGTTTGTCAATTAATAAGTTTAAAAGTTTTATTAAAGAAAAACTGTACAAAAAGGGTTATTATAATATCAAGGAATACATGAATGAAAATAACCCCTAGGAAAAAGGTGATCGCCACCATGCTGGTTCTATGAAAAATTATTTAAAAACTGTATAAACGAAATTATTGTTAAGTGAAATATGTTTGAAAAAAAAGTCCCACTGGGTTTCTTGCTGGTTCTTCCCAGGACTGAGGTATTTTCCGAACCAGTGGTAAATAAAAAAATGACTTTCAATAAGTATTATGTAATAATCAATATTGAATAAAAAATTATTCTATTCTATACTATACTAGGTGGTCACACTGCAGTGTTTTGGTGTGAAGAGTTTAGAGAGTCAGTATAACTACAGGCTGTGAGGCATTCCATCTTCGTTCTCAGTGGTGAGAACGTATCTAAAGCCCTCTTTGTAAGAAGTTGACTGCAAGTGTCCATGGATTAGCCACTTATTATCAGATCGACTAAGTTCGTTTCTAATTTGAGTATTTATAAAGAAAGTGTTTATGAAAACGATGAAGAATATATTTTCTGTAGTGTGTAGAGCAAAACTCGGTGCAGACCTGACTTAACTTCGACAAAATATCACGATATGATAAACAGTAGATTTTATCATTTTAGATAAAGAGAATTTTGCATTGTTATCTAAAACGAAAGTACAATTAGTAAAGTACAATTGTATTTATTCATAGCGGAGCGGCTAGTTACGGTGCTATTGGTTTTATGTTCAACGCAATTTTATTACTATTTGAATCTAATTTGTTTCTCAGTACATTGATTATAATTTGATAGAGAACATTAACTTTATACGGAGCTGATTTTTCAATTATCAGTATAAATTTATTATATATAGAGTAAAATACAACATAAGTAAATTGAAAATGACAGTTTTATCAATAAAATAGTTCAATTGTATTCAGTCAGATTATCTTATTGAGCTTTTATCTGATAATTGTCAAGCGTTTTGGTATGTGATGCTATGTAAAAACCCACTAGTAGCAAATTTTGTAAGAAATCCCAATAAACTGTCTTTATAACAAAAATGGCTGCGTGATCTTGGCCTAAATGTTGGGCCATACAAAGCCTTACATATTATCATCAGTTTTCACGAAATTAAATTGAATAACTTTCTCATGTTAACTAAATATAATATGTGTATTTCTAAATAGTTAAATTGTTAAACTCTTTTACGTTAATCAATTTGAATCAATCGCTGCGAATATTTTATTTATTTATTTTAATAAGGAACAAGACATAGTTTTTGCAAGCTGCGTAATTCATGTTAGTCAACCAGTGTCCGTAATATGTTTGATGAAGAGGTGAGATATTAAATATCGCTGCACTGTACCTTAACAAGTGTGTAGGCTACCTTGACTACGTCAGCGTAAAAAGCTTGCACGGAACCAAATATAGTGTTGTATTTTTAATTTAGGATGCATTTATAATAAGACTTAATCGCAAGTTTTTTATTCGTTATAGATTAAATAACATCTGAGGCCGAAGAGGTATGTTTGAACCATTGTTCTCACCATATCACAAACATCCATTAATAAAAATCTATACAAAAATTTATCTTAATATTAAAAAACGTGGTTTATTGATAATCCTAAACCTACCTTACCTTACCCTGAGAACCTTTTTACTGGAAATGAGGCATTCCATCTTACTAAGATCGTCCCTTCAACGATTTAAGAAAAAAAAAGTGTTCATATATTATACTTATCTTATTACTATATTAATACTTACCAATAATGTGGGCGTGACGAACGTAAGACACGGGTTTTCCATGCCGCCGTAAGGAAAAGAGGGTGGCAACACCAGCAAGTCATATTGGCCCCACTGGTACGGACCGCAGAGGTTTTCAGCAGCTTCCAAATATTTTTCGGTCTCAGCAAATTCCCACGCGCTACGCTCGATTTCTTCTTTTTCAGACCAAACCAATGACCTTTTGCCATCACAAAATTTCAATTAATATCTAGTCGAAGACTTGTCATCACATGTTAAAGGTAACTGTTAATTATTATTAAATAAAAATATTTAAATGTATGGTTGAGCCACACTATGGGTGCAGTGCAAATATGTTGATTCGGCAGGGGAGGAATTACGCTCTTACAGAATACATACCACATTAAATTGCAGCAATATGGTATTGTATTTTACATTAAGTGACGTGAGACCCGAAGACGCTATCCCTATATAACAAGTAAGGTTATGAGGCATTTCATCATGTCTGCAGTTTTATCATCACATAAACTTGCTCTTTTCCCCACTTTATTTTATATTCTTCATCTCTACAACAGCGCCACCTACCGGGTCCAATTGTGACTCTAAACCATCCAGGGATCCAGGCACAGGGACTCAAACAAAAAAATTTCATCAGAATCGATCTAGCCATTTTCGAATTTTTGTGAGACTAACGCACGGCAATTGATTTTTCTATATACACTAGCGATATGCTTCGGCTTCGCACGGGTGAAATCTGGATTCTACAACAGTGCCATCCGTCCAACTATGCGTGTAACCTTCGCGTAATTGACAAAGTTTTAGCGCAATCTGATAAACGGTATGGCAGCGCATAAAGTACTAACGAACAAAAATTTATTTTTATATATTAGATATAGACATATTGATGTCAATCCTTTAATCCCTTCCTGAATATAACTTGTTAATTTTAAAAATCAAATATTAGGCAATAAATATTGTTGGTATGCATAAGTTTTTTTTTAATTTACCTCACCATACAGTTAAAAGAAGTGATTTAGATTATTGACTCACCTAGGCCCAAGTCGCCTATGTTCCAAAACACCAACAGCGATGGCAAGTAAGTAGGATGGAATTGGCACAGACTGCTGGAACATGGTTGTCTTATTCCTGTTCTCACCGCGAACTGCACTCATCAGTACCGTGAATTCTTCGGGAGCTGTTACTTCAGCGTCGTACGTAAACTTTACGGCGGGTGTATCTTGACATGGTAGAATTGAACGGGCGTGTATAGGCTGCAAGATAATAAACAAGTTTTAAAATGGGATTTAAAATAAAAGGGTATTAAAGATGCCGTATAGTGGCAGCGTAGAGGACAGTAGAACCAGAGTGACCGATATAGCCCAACGGATTAGTAAGTTGAAGTGGCAATGGGCCGGCCATATAGCTTAAAGAACTGGCAACCGATGGAGAAAAAAGGTTCTCCAGTGGCAGCCACGTACCGACAGGCGAAGTGTAGGGCGTCATACCATAGATGGGTGTGACGACCTGGTAACACATGCAGGAAGTCGATGGATACAGGTGGCTCAGGACCGTGTTTTGTATAATTCTTTGGGGGAGGCTCATTTCTTGCGGTTAGTAAAATTATCTTGTTGATCCAAATTACAGCAGATATTCCCTACAATAAGAAAGTCTAGCAATGTTCCCTCACTCTCATAGTTCAATGGGACTGTAAACCAAAACTACCGGAAAGAGATCAGGTGCAGGAGCAACGGCTTTAGGCACGGGGGTGAGACAACGCCAACTTCCTGGCTCCGCGCAGCTACTGAGAATTTCTTGGCAGAAAAACTCAATACCTGATTTTTGGTTTACTGTACTGTGTGTATGAATGATAATAGGACATATATATATACAATTAATAATTATTATTAATAGTACTTATATGCAATAATATTGTAACTTGTTCAAAGTAAATAAAGTTAATAAAAACACCTACTTATAACATTTTAATTATCCCAAGATTCCACTACGTAATTAGTATTTGATTATTATTTATTAAGTATTTTAAGTGTGATAGATTGATATCTCATACTACGTCAACAAATTTATCGCATTAATTGAAATCCTTGCGTAAAAATTTCGCGAATATTTTGATTTAGATATAATCATCGTTATAATATTGATCGTGATATATTAAAATGTGTGCAAACTTGTATACTTATGCCGAGTGAGTGCTCTGTATTAGATTATTTAAAAGAAAGAGACTTTGTATTACATTTAAAAATAACAATTCTTTATTCAAAAACAAAAATTATGAAAATATTTAGAGCATTTTGTAAAGAACAAATATTTTATCATAGCTACATAATAAAAAGCTGATAAAAGTTTTGTTAAATTAATATTATCTACCTGTGTCAACCCTATCAAAATAGGTAAAAATTTAGAACATTTTTAGAAGCTTTGCCTCTGATCGGTTTCTTTACTCATGTGGTCTAGTTGTGTAATTAGGCGAAAACTTCACTTTCTACCAACATAGTGGAGTTATGTTGCACTGTATTATTCAAGCCGAAGCATAAATGGCAAATTTACTAGGTGCTAGGACTCCTTTTCTGTTTCGGAGCCAGTCCGGGTAGGCAGTGCTTGCACTGCTGCGTTCTGTTTAAAAAGTACAGAGAACCAATATAATAACAGGCTGTGAGGCATTATATCTTAGTTCTCAGGAATCATAACGCATCTATAGCCCTTTTTGTTCAAAGTTCGTGGCAGGTGCCCATAAGTTGCAGTAGCAACTTACCATCAGGTACATTGTAAATTCGTTTATCATTATAGTTTTGTAAAAATAATATATAATGGGTTGACGCGATCGGGAAAGGACCCGACTCTCAAGGACCAAAGCCAAATACGTAATGCTGTGTTTTGTATGGTGAGTGTTGGGAAACGAAGACTGTTTTTATATATGGTAGATATTGGTGTCCATGCAAATTATCGTGCGTGGAATAGCGTATGGTGGAACGTGCCTAGGGGCGCACGCAGATTAAAAAAAAAAACCGGCCAAGTGCGAGTCGGACTCCGCACTGAGGGTTCCGAACAAATCCGTAGGTATATAAGTTTAAAATTATTAAAAATATTTTTATTATATGATGTAACTTAAAATTTATGCTTTTCGCAATTTTTCCTTTATCTGTGCTATAATACGCTGCTTCGTACCAAATTTTAAGATTCTGAGTTCACGGGAAGTACCCTGTAGGTTTTGATTCCCTTGCGAATGTCGAAAATTTGCGGCATAAACGGCTGTATCTTTTGATTGCGTTGGCTTAGAAGTTTGATTTTTTCACAGCTCTAAGGGACAGTAGACTTGAGTATTTGATATGAATTTGAGCTTGATACCTCCACGCGTTCCTGAGAAAAAGGGTCTTGACAGACAGACAGAGGGACAACAAAGTGATCCTATAAGGGTTTCGTTTTTTCCTTTTAGGTACGGAACCCTAAAAAGAATAAGTAACTACTTTCATAAAATACAAAACTATACTTTCTTTTCTACAAAATTTTACTTTCTAATACTCAATGTATTAGAGCTACCAAAGAACGGCTACTTGATTACTCCTGCATCGCCCTCACGTTATTTGCTTATGTGTACTCTAACGCCCTCACTCTCTCATCACTTTTTTCATTCACGCATTAAGTGTCGAGGGGGCAAACGAGCATGCGGCCCACCTGATGCTAAGTGACTACCGCCGTCCAGGAAAAACCGCAACATCAGGGGAATTGCAAGTGCGTTGCCGGCCTTTTAGAAAGGTGTAAGCTCTTTTCTTGAAGGTCCCTAAGTCGTATCGGTCCGGAAAAATCGCCGGTAGTAAAAATTCCACAGATAAGTTGTACGAGGAAGAAAACTCCTAGTAAAACGCACAGTGGTGGACCGCCAAGCATCCAGATGGTGAGGATGGTATCGTAAATTTTGACGCGATGTGCGTTTGTGAAATTTGGCGGCTGGAACTAATCCGAACAATTCCTCAAAGCACTCGGTAGAGTCGATAGAAAATGCTAAGGCATGCAACATCCCTTACGCAGCGCCTGTGAATCGACCCGATCAGAAAGAACTCGGTCGTCGACGATTCGAACCGCTCTGCGCTGGATGCGGTCAAGTGGAAGGAGCAGGCACTGGGGTGCCCCGGCCCAGAGATGAGAACATTATTCCATGTGAGGCCGAACTTGCGCTTTGTTTGTAGTAATTATATTGCAACTGAACTGTATTATATATTATAATATAGTTTATTTGCAAAATAACCAGTTATAATTTATAATACATTGCAGCCAGAGGTGCGCCGACGGGCTGCTAGCCTAGGACGCTGTCAACATTTAATCCACCTCTGTGTCCATGGTCAACAAACATTATTATTTATCATCAATTGGACCACATGCTCATTGGTCTGATTGGTCTGGTGGAGTCTGATAATGTGATAAAACACAAAATTATGTCGCAAATTATGACGTGTGAAACAACAAGTCAGTTGCAGGGTTTAACTTATAACAAATGAATCTTGGTTGAAAATGCAAACAGTGCATTTGCTGTGCTTTTGAATCTATTTGTTTTACAGTTTACACAGTTGTAGCTGTAGGTGACAGTTAAAAATTAAAAAGTATACCTGACACTGGCTGAACAAATAAGGATATTTCTTTCCCGAAGTTTGATTAGGTTCCAGCCATTGTAGTGCAGAAGCCGAAGGTGATGTTCTATACTTAATTCTGATAACTAATCTGGAAAATATACACTATATTAAATATAGATATATCAATTATTTAAGACCAAATTGACAAGATCAAGCAAATTACGACTTATAAACTAACTAAAACAGATACAGGTAGGTCTACCTACATGATCATAAGATTTTGAATTTGCTAACCCAATTTTTTTTTCCACTTCCTCATTTACTTGTTCATTACATCTACAGCAAAGACACAGCGTCCCTCCATCACGTACACAAACCCAGTGGTCAATTTCTTCACTATCGCTAACTAAAGGTTTATACATACCATCCATAAAGGTTAATGAAACTGTATTAATCACTTTTTCACAGTCTACAACATTTTGATGAGCTTCAGCCATAAAGTCTTTGTTTTTCGCAACATTTATTATGCTTTAAAAGAGATTTTATGCTTGATTCTATCAATTCGATAGTATTATACAAACAATAAATTATAAGAATATAAATAAATTTAACTTACTTCTGACCAGCTGAATATTGATTGCCTAATGTTATAGATAATTTGGAACCAAAATTAGGTACATGCTGATCAGTATTATATTGCAATTTTGTGCCATCTCTTAATTCAATGGATTGTATTATCAGATCATTGACATCTAAAATCTGAAATGTTTTTGTTGATTTTACAATACAAGAAAATGTTAATACAACAAAAATATACAAACATTGTGGGAAAAACAAAAGGTTTATCACAGAGAATTATTACAAGCAACCCAAAAAAATAATTATATAGAAATATTAACGAGTTAGGTGCAAATAATAGTTTAGCATATAAATAAACCGTGTAGTGGCGGTTAAGAATATCCACTACCCCATATCTTCCCGTGGGTGTCGTAAAAGGCGACAAAGGGAAACAGGGAGGAGATGGGCAGCAGATTCTTCCTGATAACAGCAAAAATACAATAAAAAAAACTGCGTTTGCCAACCCGCTCGCCAAGCGTGGCAACTATGGCAAATACTCCCCCTATGAATGAATGTAACAAAGAGACGGGCCCCAGTCCCCGGCGGCCCAGCTATTCCTGCCTGAGGACTGACGAGAAGATTGTGGAGCTGGAAGAAGAGATAGACAAGTTACGCTGGCATATTATAGGATTATCCGAAGTCCGAAGAGAGGGGGAGGACACGGTAATCCTCGAATCCGGCAACTTGCTCTATTACCGGGAGGGCGACCATCTGTCCCAAGGAGGTGTCGGATTTATCGTCCACAAGTCTCTCGTTAACAACGTTGTAAAGATTGAGAATGTGTCGACGAGGGTTGCGTACCTTATACTCAGAATCACCAAACGGTATTCGCTGAAGGTCATACAGGTTTACGCACCAACCTCTGCACACCCCAATCAGGAGGTAGAGGAAATGTATGAGGATATCTCTAGAGCCATGCATTCCTCCAAAACCCAATATACGGTGTTAGTGGGAGACTTTAATGCAAAACTAGGCACATGAGAGAATGGTGAGCTGAAAGTAGGGAAATTTGGAATAGGGCAACGGAACCCAAGGGGCCAGCAGCTGGCCGACTTCATGGAGAAAGAGGGACTCTTTATGATGAACTCTTTTTTCCAGAAGCGGCCCCACAGGAAGTGGACCTGGTCGAGCCCCGACGGTTCGACAAAAATGAGATTGACTTCATTATGACGACCAGACGACAACTGTTCAGTGATGTCTCAGTGATCGCAAGGGTGAAAACCGGCAGCGATCACCGAATGGTTAGAGGCACACTGAACCTAAACGTTAAGTTGGAGAGGTCTCGTCTAATGAAGTCAACGCTCCGTACCCCTCGTGCTCTAATCCAAAGTCCCGAAACCTTTCAGCTAGAGTTACAAAACCGTTTTCAGTGCCTAGAAGACTGCAATGAAATGGACGATACGAATGACAAGCTCGTGGAAACTGTCCATGCGGTCGGAGCTAAGTTCTGCAAGACCCGCCGCAGAAGAACACAAAAACTTTCCGATCACACTCTTAATCTCATGGTTGTTAGACGGGATATGAAGCTACATTCTTCAACAGATTTGACAGCATACAGGCAACTGAACAGACAGATCTCCAAATGCATGCGACGGGACTTACGCAACTTCAATACAGCTCGTATTGAAGAAGCGATCGAGCGGAACCAAGTCTCCAAAGTCTTTGCCAGAGATCTGTCTGCCAGGAAGAGCCAACTGTCAAGGCTGAAAACAGAATGTGGCAGCATCGTTTCCGGGGCACCTGAGATTTTGAGTGAGATTGAGAGGTTCTATGGGCAGCTGTACACGTCATTGTTGGAGCCACACGCAAGTGTGAGTAACGATCCAAGAGCGAGTCTTATCCGACATTATTCCGATGATATCCCGGACGTCAGTCTGAGCGAGATTAGAATGGCTCTCCAGCACCTTAAAAACGGCAAGGCCCCAGGCGAGGATGGAATTACAGCGGAGCTTCTGAAAGCAGGTGGAAAACCGGTACTTGAAGTCCTTCAGAAGCTCTTTAATTCCGTCCTCCATGGTGGCATTACACCGGAGGCGTGGAGCAGAAGTGCGGTGGTCTTGTTCTTCAAGAAAGGCGACAACGCTCTCTTGAAGACCGATTTCCGTGCTGAGCCGCGTCTACGTACTGTTTTCGAGAGTCATTACGAATCGTCTCGCGCGCAGACTTGACGACTTCCAGCCTCCCGAACAAGCCGGTTTCCGAAAAGGCTTTAGCACCATAGACCACATACATACCTTTCGGCAAATTGTACAGAAGTCAGAGGAGTACAATTTGCCACTTTGTCTGGCGTATGTGGACTATGAGAAAGCCTTTGATTTCGAAGAAATTTGGGCGGTGCTGCAGTCCCTTCAGCGGTTCCAAGTTGACTGTCGGTATATCGAAGTGCTGAAGTGCTTGTACAGTAGGGCTACGATGGCTATTCGAGTACAGAACCAGAGTACGAAACCTATCCAATTGCAGAGAGGTGTAAGACAGGGTGACGTCATATCCCTGAAACTCTTCACCGCTGCATTGGAAGACCTTTTTAAGCTTCTGGACTGGAAAGGATACGGTATCAACATCAATGGCGAGTACATCACTCACCTTCGATTTGCCGACGATATAGTCCTTATGGCAGAATCGCTGGAGGACCTAAGCACTATGCTCAATGACCTCAATAGTGCTTCCCAACGGATAGGTCTTAAGATGAACATGGACAAAACAAAGATCATGTTTAATGTCCATGTCACACCTATGCCGGTAGTTGTTGGGAGCACTAAGCTCGAAGTTGTTGACGAGTATGTTTACCTGGGACAAATAGTCCGACTAGGTAAGTCCAACTTCGACCGAGAGGTCAATCGACGGATTCAACTCGGTTGGGCAGCGTTCGGGAAATTACTGCACATCTTCTCGTCAGGTATATCTCAAAACTTGAAAAGGAAACTGTACAACCAGTGCGTGTTGCCAGTAATGACATACAGATCTGAGACGTGGTCCTTCACTGCTGGCCGGATGAAGAAGCTCAAGGTCGCTCAGCGAGCTATGGAGAGGGCTATGTTCGGAGTTTCTCTGCGTGATAAACTCAGAAATGAGGATATCCGCAGTAGAACCAGAGTGACCGACATAGCCCAACGGATTAGTAAGCTGAAGTGGCAATGGGCCGGCCATATAGCTCGAAGAACCGACAACCGATGGGGAAAAAAGGTTCTCGAGTGGCAGCCTCGTACCGGCAGGCGAAGTGTTGGGCGTCCCCCTACTAGATGGAGTGACGACCTGGTGAGATGTGCAGGAAGTCGAAGGATGCAGGTGGCTTAGGACCGTGCTTTGTGGCATTCCTTGGGGGAGGCCTAAGTTCAGCAGTGGACTTGTGAAGGGCTGTAATGAATGAATGAATATAAATAAAGAAATTGTACACCATTATTACGGTAGAATGTAAGGTCTATTTAATAACTAATATTATGTAGGTACTACATTCTCACAAGTTGAATTATAACAATAATGCCCTCCAAACAGAATTTCGGTCAGTTTCAACAGAAACAAATCATAGCACAGGCAATCTCAATAATCACAAGCTCTATGTGGTTTCTAAGGCACGGGGGTGAATCACCACCGACTACCTGACTCCGGTTTACTGAGAATTTCGTGACAGGACGGTACCAACAGACAGATTCGTACCTGAGAATACATGACCGGCAGTTGCACTTACCACCACTACACCAACGAGACAATCAGGTGGACTGTAAGTTATTTTGTTACTTAAATATTATAAAAAAAATGTAGTGGTACTATTTTGCTGTATAGGGTATAATGTAAACAGCATACTTGCTTAAAAGAAAATGTGTGAAGCCCCCTAGAGCCTACAAACACACATAAATACAACAATCCAACAATCAGCGCCAGTATGCAGTGCGAGAGCTTACCACAGATTTAGAGTACTCTATGGTCATGAGAGCTTACTCTTTGGAGGTGAGGCGCGCTCCGTACTGGTGCCGATTGTCCGACCTTCATGTATTTGTATGTATCTAGCATATCACAAGCAAAATTATAGGACCTGGGACGTTTCACACATTTTCAGTAAAAAGTTGGCCCTTTACAAAACGGCAATTTAATAGGTAAAAACCTCATATATTAAAAATATTTAATTACAAGAAGTAGGCATAAGTGGTTACATAAAATATAATCATTCAATATTAGATGAACAGATTAGATTAAAGCTGCCTTTTTAATATGAAGTGGTGCATGACAGTACAAATTATAGGAATGGAAACTGCTTATATAATGATTGACATTATCATGTGCACTTCAAATGGGTATTATTTTTTAAGAAACACTGATATTTGTTGATAAAAATACAAGATACAGAAATTACAGATAAGATGTAATATTTATCATCAGACTGAAAAGTTGAGTGCCAAGTATGAGAGGTTTTGTCACAGATGTGTTATTCAATAGGCAATGATTATACATTAATTTACCAAAGTACTGCCTAGTAGTTTATTTGTATTTAAGAGAAAAACATTTTGTAAAAGGTTATTTTTTATAAAATTTGTATGTAGAAAATATCTAGGATTAGAAGCAGAGCAGTAATTAAATAATAAATGAGATAAAAGAACAGATTTTTTTACGTGGTACATTATAATATTATGTGGTAGAGCCATGCTGCAGTTATATTATGGTTTTAGCATGGGTCGACTCAGCCAGAGTAGGACCACGCTCTCACACACTGTAAATTAGCACCTAAATGCAACTATGTTTCGTATGGTGAGTGTAGAGAACCGGAGACCCTTTTTACTGGAAATGGGGCATTCCATCTTAGTCCTCAGGGGTGACACGCATTTGTTTTTTGATTTTTAATCGAGAATTAATATAGACGTCTAATAGCCACAGCCTTCTTTTACCATAAGGTGGACCGTGTGCTTGTCACCTTTAGTTTATAAAAAAAAAAACTGTACAAACGCTTGTAATAAAATAAAAAATGCTTTTGAGAGAAATAAAAATATTATAAAATATAATATATAAAATTAGGGAATGTCCAAATCTAAAAGCAAAATAGTATAGTTTGTATAGAATATCTGAGATGAAAGTCAGTGAAACTAAGAAATGTATGTCTATAACCCCTGAGAATGACGAGCTTATGCTGTTTCTAAATGTTTTCAAATTAATTAAAAATAATATATTAAAAATGAAATTTATTAAAAAAATAGTCCCACTGACTGACTGACTTTGCTGGTTCTTCTTAGGACAGAGCTTTTTACCGAACCAATGGTAAAAAAATGACTTCAATAAGAATTACATGTAATCCATATTGAATAAAAATTATTCTATTCTATTATATAGTAATAATATTGCATGAGGATCATGCCATATAGTGGACGGAGTATAAAAGTGTTTCACAGTAAGTTCTAGGTAATCTTAGCTGGAGCTAACACATACAACAAGTGGTAAAATTAGAAATTTTGTACAACCGACTCTAATATAAATTATTAAGGATAACTCTAAACTACTGGTCAGACCTTGTTCAAATTTATATGGAACCACATGAGAAATACAAACAATTTGTTTTTAGGTTTAAGAAGCCACTCCTTCTTCTGCTACAGGTTACCAACTCATATCCAGAGTGGTCTAACCAAGTCCACTCAGAGTGCCAGCCACTTTTATCATTACTTATTGATATCAATAGCATTATTATTATACACATTGCATGTGCCAAATTTTGTTGCAATGATTGAATGACCAACAACTGGCCAAGAGTATGATCATGGATTTATTAAACTTTTAAAAATAAACATTGAAAAACATACTATTTCATCAGTAGCCTGCAGTACATCAAAGTTGAGATCAGCAGTACCCTTTAGAACTTTTTTTTCGAAATCCACATCCAATATAAGAGAAATGTGCCTTATAATTGCTACTTCTGTAAGGAAAAAAATAAAATAAAATAAATCTCTGAAATAGAATGATAAATCATTATATTACACATTAAAAATGGTTTTCAATGGTAACCTAAGCATTTAATAATAATAAAATAAACATTAAAAATTTAAGTGTTATGAGTAAATTATTATAACTCCAAAAACTAAAATTAAATTTGCTTTGTTTAAGGAAATTGATACAAAACTTCTAACTTTGTATAACCTCTAGCGGCCTAGCAAAATATATTCAAGAATATATATACACTGCCCATGCATCATTTTATGTTGTGCTATCTGCAGAAATATTTTTTTATTTTTATTTTAAGAGAGTAATACAGTTGGCCCACTGTAATCTCACAAACTTTTTGCAAGGCTGTGTCAGATTATCGAATTTATAGCACTATAGAGTACTGCCACAGCCCCATGATAGTCCAGAACTTTTTGAAAAAGAGAGCCTTATAATCTGACAAATTACTTATCAAATATAAAATAATAAAAACCAAAAAAGTCATGTGATGCACAATGAATACCTAAACAGTAAATAATTAATGCCCGCTAGGCTGCATAGTATATACCTAGTAGTATATAGTCATGTAAAGTGAGATAATGGTGCAAATTAATTGCAATCTGTTTGTCCACATATTCGCAAAGAACAAACATAATAAAATAAAAGAAGAACAAAATAATTAATATCAGCCCAATGTACTTTAAAAATCACAGAGAGTTTCTAAATTCAAATTTAAAAAAATCAAAATATTATTCTAATTTAATTATTTGCTCTCAGACAAAATGAAATAATCAAATAATTGCATAAGAACAGTAAAACAGTCAAGTATAATACAATTTAACTTACCTTTCCCTTTCCATATGCATCATTTTTTTTTAATTCTCTCTAAAACTATTAACTTCTTAGCTAAATGGAATAATTTCATTAAGTTTCATGTCCTTTAGTGGGACAGAAATTGAGATATTTTGTTTCAGTACCTGGGCTGGAATTCGTATAGTTCTAATGTCATTTTTAAAGGACTTTGGGCCACAAGGATAATATAATTATATCTAAAATCTTTATATTTTATTTTTGTTTAAATAATAATATATTGTTTTAATAAATATAGCCACATAAAAATAATTTAAAAATTACCTGGCCTAGAAAAAGAAGAAGGATCTAGAGGACTTAATGCACCCATGGCTTTCACTTGACTGTAATATAACAAAAAAATTACAAATAATATTGAAAAATAGTAATTCATTATCAAAACTTATGTACGCTTTGCTGCTGAAATACTATTGACCAATGAACCTTCCTTTGATAATCAAAGTGAAAGTTGTTTGTAAGTTACACAAGATTTACATGATTGCTAAAGATCTTATTTTATACTTACCTCTTATGGAAAAGCAGTGCTCAAGGAGAAAAATGTAATAAAAAAATCGAATTTGTATCGGTTAGGTACGGCATTAGTTACTTGTTTATGATTATACATAACAATTAGTATTTTTATACATAACAATTAACATTAAAATTATGTTAATTGTTATGTATAAAAATACAAAGAAAATTATGTTTGTATAATAATACTTGTCACTGAAAGTAGACACTGTAAGATGATTACTAACCTGTTTATTGCGAAATATTTATTTATTGCAGAATTTGAAAAGTTATTTGAACTATATTTGCTAAAAGAAGAAAGGTTGAGTCGATTCGCTATAATAGCGATACAGGATCTTTCTCGTGCATAAATTTTGGGACTTAGCAAAGAACGAAAATGCCGCTTTATCGCTTTTGAGCATATGACAGCCATTTTGAGTGTTGCCAAATCATATCATAGATAAATAAATATGTAGCAAGCTGAATCATATAATCTCCCCAATAAATTAGCTTTTTTAACTGGCTTTACGGCTCTGGGTTCTAGCCCTTCTGAGCCTGTAGTTACAATATACTTTATAAATTAGAAATGTCACGAACGATACATTCATCAAAAATTCAATTTCACATTGATTTACAAAGAGTGTTTACGTTTGCACTGTTGATTAATATCACGTTGTTTTCATTTTCATATATCTTGGACACCAAATATAAAGGAATATAATGGTCGGAAGAATTTTTCATCAGCTAATAAACTTTGAATAGTATCAGGAACTTTATCATTGTTAATTTCTTGAATGGAATTAATGAGGAGTAATCTATTCCAACCAAATTGACAGCATTGAAAAACCAGATGTTTTAGGTCTCCTTTCGTATCACCACAATATTCACAATTTGCATTTTCTTTCATTCCCAAACGATGCAGGTGGACGGCTACTCTGCTATGTCTAAATCTGATTCGGTTTACAGTCGTAATGAATTTTCTATTATTAATCCCTTTTTTGTTGTACCAAGGAGTAGCTGGCGGGCTTTTTTGTATTTCATAATACCAAATTCCTTTGGACTTGCTTATTTCTTCCCAGTATGACTTCCATAAGGATCTCAAGTTCTTGCTTAACAAGGCATATATATCTGTAAATGGTATTTCCAGCATTGTCGAGTGATCTGAACTTGCTGAAGATAATACATCTATATTAGCAATGTCTGTTTCCTCGTTCCCAGTTATCCCAAAGTGTGAAGGGACCCACATAAAGGTAACAGTCTTTCTTATTCCTTACATTGATGCACCCTATATTGGAATAAATCCAGATGTACAAAGTCAGGTAAGTTGGTTGACAAAAAAGTTACACTTACAGAACTAAACGGTTTGATCTGTCCATTAACTTTTTTTGTGAAACGACGCACTTTAATTACCTCATATTACGATGATAGTTTTAAACAGCTCTTCATTGCTTATGCTAATGGGAACACACCTGAGTACCCCATTTGTTTCCACCACCGGCGTTAATCGCCCGCGCAAACACCACCCCTACTTTAGAAGCGTTTATTCTTCTTATATTAGTGACTCCTTTGATTTCGTTTTTGAAAATTCCCGCCAACATCAAAGGATTCGTATTGCCAAGTTTAACTCCTTTTTTACGACTCTCAATAAAAACCGTGTATTCAGCCATTCCCATTGACTCAGGGAAAACTCTTTTATAATTTAATTTGTAGTATGGTTTATAAAAAGCATAATTTTCCTGCTGCAGGTCTTGATTACGCTTTAGCGGTTTCCTTTTCCCGCCCGCGTCGTGATCCATATCTTTATCCATTCCGTCACTATCAGACGGCATTTCTCTTTATTCTATATTTTAATTCGTATAAAAATTAAAGAATTTTCCTTCAAAAGTTGAAGTTAAAATTAGACTTGTAATTTTAGTTTAAATATACGCGTTTCTTCCTCCCGCCATTTAGGAAGCAGCCCACAGAATCTTCATCATGGGCACGCAACTTAGAACATTATTTTACGAACAAAATGATAAGTTTTATGTGCTTCCATCTACATTCCGAAGTGCTAGGCTAGACTTATTTTAATCTCAACAAGTACAAGGTTATATTAGCTCAGGTGGGTAACCGGGCGGTCCCGAAACCAAAAGACCCCGGATCGAGTCCAGCAGATGTATATGTGTATTTTTGTGTAATAATAATATATAAATAATATAAAATAAATATGTTATATAATATATATATATATATATATATATATATATATATATATATATATATATATATATATATATAAACCGAAAGACCCCGGATCGAGTCCAGCAGATGTATATGTGTATTTTTGTGTAATAATAATATATAAATAATATAAAATAAATATGTTATATAATATATATATAAATTATGTATATTTTTTCCAAGTTTTGGTGTAATAAAATAATATTTTTTCCAAGGTTTGGTGATGAAGCCCCATCCAAAACCACAATTTATCGCTGGTTTACTGAATTTCAACGTGGACGTGTCAAGCTCAGTGATGATCCCTCATCTCAGTGATGGTCGTCCAAAAATTGCAGTCATCCAAGAAAACGTTGATGCTGCGTGTAAGCTGATTGAGGGAGATCGACATGTGACATACCGCGAAATTCAGGCAACTTTAGACATTGGCATGAGTCAAATACAAATAATCTTGCATGAACAATTAGGTGTAAAAAAGTTGTTTTCCCGATGGATACCGCATTCGCTCTGTGAAGAGCAAAAAGCGGCTCGCGTTACTTGGTGCGTCAGAAGTCTCAATAGATTCCACGCAGGATTCTGAAATGCTGTATACAACATCGTATCAAGTGACGAATCCTGGATATACGCGTACGAACCCGAAACAAAAAACCAGGCACGAGTTTGGGTGTTCGAAAATGAGTTAAAGCCAAAAAATTGTACGTTCACGGAGTGTTGCAAAAAAAATGGTGGCCACGTTTATCTCCAAAACCGGCCATGTTACGACTATTCCTCTTGAGGGACAAAGAACGGTTAATGCAAAATGGTATGCTAGCATTTGTTTGCCACAGGTCGTTTCTGAACTCCGTAAAGAGAACTGCAATCGCCGCATCATCCTCCATCACGACAATGCGAGTTCTCACACCGCACATAGAACAAAAGAGTTTTTAGAGCAAGAAAACATAGAATTATTAGACCATCCGCCGTACAGCCCCGACCTAAGCCCTAATGATTTCTATACTTTCCCTAAAATAAAGAATAAATTGCGTGGACAGAGATTTTCATCACCTGAAGAAGCTGTGGACGCCTACAAAACGGTCATTTTGGAGATCCCAACTTCCAAATGGAATGGTTGCTTCAATGATTGGTTCCATCGTATGGAAAAAAGTGTCAAATTTCGCGAAGAATACTTCGAAAAGCAATAAATACATTTTTAAATAGTAATGTTCTGTCACTTCCTTGATTTCCAAAATTTTCAGTAGGTACTTATAGCGAAAAAAAAATTAAGTAATAATTTAACTACAGAAGTAATACCTAAGTACTTTATTACAAAACTTAGTTTGAAATTTACTTCACTACCCAAGTAACTACTTACATACATATCTTTGTAATTAAAATATTTTAAGTTATAATAACACAAAATACTGTAATTGGAACTTTGTTTAGAAAATTGTTAACTAAGTATAATACGATCACATTTCTGTTAAGAATCGTATTTCGGGCTTATTTGTTTTTTACTCTATCTACCTATTTCTTACGAGCCAAGTATCGCGATTCCCGACGAATGGCCTTGGAAGTTGCACGCGTTGGGCATCACAGAACTCACATAGTAGCAGAAATATGGTCGATCAGTCAGAATAGGTACTTTACCTAAGTAACTTACCATGTCGCAATATATTTTTTTACTTTTTATTAACAGCCCTTCGTAACCACTGAAAGTCCCTTGTGACGTGGGAAGGAGAAAAGATGCAAAGTAATATGGACACTCGCGCGTTGCGATAAAGTTTTATTTAGCTTGTGTGCGCGATTTATCTGATTAATAATAATTATGTAGGCTATTAAAAAGTCGGCAAGCAGTCAACATCAAAGAAGTGCAACTTCTGTACGTAGTACTATTATTTATTCTGTGACATGTTACAGAAAATAGCGAATTTCGCCGTTCTACTCGTGATAGACGGCGTCCCTCATAACTGCGCAATGGATCTGGTCACCCAATTTTGTTAAGGGTATCAAAAAATTGTATAAAAAATTACGAATTCAACGGTATTCTTATTTTTTTTCTACCTTTAAAAATGACTGAAATATTGATGAGTAAAGTGGTGTTTTACGGTAAGGATGACCGCTTTGCTCCGCATCACGATATGACGTCACAATTCGACACGTCGAAGCCACCAGTAGTGCTTATTGTTATATTTTTCTTATTCTCTCTATATTTATTACTCCATATTTTCTTGTCATGTTATTTATTTATCAGTAACCTTTATTTTCTGTTTTCTTTTTTATTTCTGTTATATCACGCTCCTTGCGAATAAAATTCCGATATGAGAAGATAAAATCCTGTAGATCATATTATACCTTTATGCAAAATGTCATCAAAATCAGTTTAGTATTACACGCATTGAATGTTTGCGATCATTGCATTTTCATTCGTAATACCGCAATCAGTTTATTCAAAAGTAAGTCAAAGTAAAACTAGGACCATATGTTTACAACCACTGACGAACTAAGTAACCAATAAAATTTCTTCACGTGTCACTAGGTACTAAATAACAGTACGAGTTAATACTGACTGTATTAATAAGCTTAAGTAAGCTTTTTCATTTTATGTCGTTGTAAATCATGTGCAACTTCGTGGTTCGGTTAGTTAATACCTACCTATGAATTACTGCCTAGTTACTAATAAATGGTAAAGCTGTATACTTTTCGTAATCTTTTATTAGTAACTTACCTTTGGAGCTTTATTCCACGCATTTTTGATGTAAAAAATCATAATTTTCTGAAAAATACTGCGCTACCATAAAATATCCACTGTTGGCAGATTATCTGAGTGTATTTTTTAAAGCCCGCTTCCATTTTCATTTTTTTACAGGACTACACATCGTGACCATACATATAAATATAATCACATTTTTTTTATACGTGGTAGAGCAATGCTGCAGCTATATTATGGTTGTAGCACGAATAGGTCGGCTCGACCGGGGAAGGACCACGCTCTCACAGAATACCAGCGTCAAATAGTAGTTTAACGCTGTTGTGTTTCGTATGGTGAGTGTAGAGAACCGGAGACCCTTTTACTGGAAACGAGGCATTCCATCTTAGTCCTCACGAGTGACAACGCATCTGCATTTTCATTCGTAATCGAAGATAGATGTAGATGTCTATGGGCCACAGCAACCACTTACCATCAGGTGGACTGTGTGCTTGTTTGTCACCCTTATCCTATAAAAAAGTAATATGCTA